TCTTTTTTATTAAAAAAAAGTATATATATTTGGATTATGCATCCTTTGAATTATTATAATTATGAATAATTCTAGGTAATTATTGCCTGTTTTTTTAAAATGACTTGCTGACACCTGAACATAAAAACCATCATAGATATAAATTTTTTGTTTTAAGAAACTTTATAAATTTTGGAATATGACATGCTAGTACATGCATGTAGGGGTAACATTATCACATTGATAAAGTTCTTCTTGTAAAACTTTCCCTTCTTTGTTTTCAATTGTTGGTTGGCAAAATTTTTTAACTCATTGTCATATTAAAAGTTCAAAATTAACAATATTCTCATTTGTCAGATCAATTCTACATATCATTTTATAAATAAAAAAAATTATACCAGAGTTGTATTTCTTTTCCTCATTAATCTAAAATAAATAAAGTTACAGGAAATTTGTTTAGAATTATTAATTTATTGGGCCCCATTAGTGATGTCCAATGCCACTTTTTCTTTGGTGTTTTAGGCTTTTTGAACTTAAAAATATTGACACCTATAGAATGAATAGTTGATTCTATTTGTTCTCAAATTGTTATTTTATCATTTTTTTTGTTTTTTATTAAATGTCGATTTAATTGACAATTCAAAAAAAGACACACAAATAAACATTGGTAATATAAAGCATTATATGTAATTCATCTGTACACAATGTTGCTGTTCTAAAAAAGGTAAAAGATTTAAATTTTTTTGTCCTCAAGTATTATATAGATTTTCATAATCTTTATCTATATTTCAATAGTTTGTGCTTTTACAATCACAATATAAGCAAAAATAATTTGCTGTTGGTCCTTTAGTATTGAGAATTAAAGACATAAATTTTCAATTTGAACCAAACCAGAATTTGATTTTCCAATGATTGTTATTCGAGTCAATGATTTCTTCTGTATTTAAAATTACTAATTCATTAATTAAAAAACTAAAAGCTTTTTGAAAAGACTCATATTGTTCTATACCATCATAAAGAAAAATATAATAGTAGTTAGATGGGTTTAAAACTATATTATACTCATTTAATATACATGCAGTTAGCATTATGTGGTTGTGGTGTTTGCCAACTTGTTGCCCATCTCCACTTAATTTAACATGAATAATGTTCTCCACTTGTAATACTTCTGATTCGCTATATGCTAATTTAGGAATTAAACTAAATAAAATATCTTTAAGTGATCTATTTAGTCTATCTGAAGCTATAGAATTAACTTGAACCATGTAAATTAGGATTATATGATCCATAATTCTTGTTATTTCATGTCTATGCTTTTCAACTTTATATTCACATATCATTTCTGGTATAATTGCTACAAGCTAATGATATGTGTCATGAGAAATCAACGAATTATCGCAAGCACAAACAACTAAGTCTAAAAATTGATTCAATTCAGAGTTTTTAGATTCTAAATTTTGAAAAATTATTTATATTTAACTCTATAGATTTTAATACTGTGTTATGAAAGTTATAAGATTGAATTGTGGACTCGATTCTATTATAAATATTACAAGCCAGGGTCTTGAGATATTTATTTTTTTGTAACTCAGATTGAAGTTTGTGAAATAGTTTTTTCTGCAATTGAGTTTTAAAAATGAGTTGATTTTGGTTTTGACACCTTTCTAAACATTCTAGGTCAAAGCCAAAAAGTATAATTCCTGAAAATTGTGAATTACTATGACCTTTTAATTTCTATTTCATAAAATATATAATGTACAGTATATAAATATATAATATAATGACAATAATTTATTAATTAATTTTATATTAAAATTACAACCTGCAAAAATAAAGCCAAAGCATTACTAACTGATTTATTACTTGAGACTGCCTGATTTTTTTCATTACAACTATCCCAAGTAATTGTATATATAACCTCTCTAAAAGAATTATACTGACATAATATATAATATACAAAAAACTCTTTCCAACGATCACTTGAACCAAAATTTCCCATAGAAAAAAAACACAAATTTTTACTAGAGAGTCATGGCCTACATAGTGGTTTGTCTAGAGATCAACTGCTTTTCTAAGGGACTTCTCTATAAGTGATATTTAGCATGCAAGCCAAAAGCATTATTATACAAGATAACTGGCAGGAGGTGCCCTTGTATAAAAAATCTTGGTGGAGAAGAAGACTCTGCAGACTAATCTTCCTTCTCCGTTGATGGCTGTACTTCTTTAAAGACACTGGGAAACAACAAAATAACATATTGTTTCTTCAAGCTGCACTCTTTTTACTTAGTCAAGTGATTCCTTTTTACTTTTTATTGCTTTCCTGTCAGTCTTCTAAAAATTTTCAAAAAAATGTAAGAATTGGCTTATCCTCTCTAAAAGATTGGCATTGTTTACATCAACCAAATTCAGATGAACTCAGTGGAATGCAATCATGTGTTTGTTGTGTTGACTAATACGGTACTACAGTATGGAAAAGAGATCAACACTCCCATTTAGAAGATTTCCGAGTTGAGTTGGTGTATGGAATAAATTAACCTGATAGAGTCGAAGGCTTTATAATTGAGATATACTTTTAGTTGCAATTAGTATATAATTTTTATCCTTATGCCTAG